AGTTAGGGTACACTTTTTGTTCCAACTTTCTCCAAATTGAAATCCGTTTGTACTGTTGCGATCAGACAGTCGAACTCTATCCAACGATATAATTTTTATATTCATTCATTATACTTTTTCCGACACCACATTTTTGGGTGTTTGACTTTAACAGAGTAAAAATTGGTTTAATTGACCTTTCTCATAAAAGGTTCTATCATTTAGTTCATATCATTTGTTCTCATGATTTATTTCAATAAATCATTTTAAAGTTCATATTATAAATAATTTATTTATTTATTCTTGATTTGGGTCTGTACTCATGTTCTCAATCAAGACCACACAAATACTCAACATATTGGATTTATCTCTATGAGACTTATCCTGATTTGTGATATTGGATGTCAAAACACATTTCATTTCGGCCCAAAGCCCAATAACTATTTATTTTAATCGAAACAAATTTGACTAATTGAATATTTATTCATTAAAAATTTTAGGGTATGTTTTAGGGCGTTACACGCACGCTGAAAATGGACACTCCTTGCAAAAGTTATGCCCAAAACAGCGTGATCACCACGCTAAGTGGTTGACGATGGGTGCAAACAAGCAAAAGACCGATAGGGTGAGTCTTTGACCCCTTATTTTACCACTTCGCTCATTAAACTTTAGCATGATGGGATCGATCATACAAGCACCAATGCACCGGATCCCATCAGTACTCTGAAGTCAAGTTTGTTGTTTAGATTATGAGCAATACCGATGGATTGAGAATAAATACACCATACGCGCAACACATGATGGGTGCGATCATACCAGCACTAATGCACCAGATCCCATCAGAACTCCGAAGTTAAGCGTGCTTGGGCGAGAGTAGTACTAGGATGGGTTACCCCCTAGGAAGTCCTCGTGTTGCACCACTTTTTGTTCTTTTCATCATTTTCTTTTTGCAAGTTATGCGCTTGATTCTTTTAAAAATTGCCAAGCGAGCACAGAGCGTCTCGTAAACTTCCACAGTGCGTCGGGAAGCCACAAAAAATAAGGGTGGCCGAAACCCAAAACGAACAGAACTCAAACCGGGCCTAGGAATGATAAATAAATGGGCCGAACATAAAATGGTCCATACGATCAGAAACGAGAAAAATTGAGGTCAAAGTAGAGCTCGATGGGTCCCTGACGCATCGGGCCCCCGTGCGTCTCGTTGAGACCTTTCCAGAAAGTGCTCGCACGCTGAAAACGGACACTTCTTGCAAAAGTTATGCCCAAAACAGCGTGATCACCACGCTAAGTGGTTGACGATGGGTGCAAACAAGCCCAAGACCGATAGGGTGAGTCTTCGACCCCTTATTTTACCACTTCGCTCATTAAAATTTAGCATGATGGGATCGATCATACAAGCACCAATGCACCGGATCCCATCAGAACTCTGAAGTCAAGTTTGTTGTTTAGATTATGAGCAATACCGATGGATTGAGAATAAATACACCATACGCGCAACACATGAGGGGTGTGATCATACCATCACTAATGCATCGGATCCCAGCAGAACTCCGAAGTTAAGCGTGCTTGGGCGAGAGTAGTACTAGGATGGGCGACCCCCTAGGAAGTCCTCGTGTTGCACCACTTTTTGTTCTTTTCATCATTTTCTTTTTGCAAGTTATGCGCTTGATTCTTTTCAAAACTGCCAGGCGAGCACAGAGCGTCTCGTGAACTTCCACAGTGCGTCGGGAAGCCACATAATATAAGGGTGGCCGAAACCCAAAACGAACAGAAGTCAAACCGGGCCTAGGAATGATAAATAAATGGGCCGAACATAAAATGGTCCATACGATCAGAAACGAGCAAAATTGAGGTCAAAGTAGAGCTCGATGGGTCCCCGACGCATCGGGCCCCCGTGCGTCTTGTTGAGACCTTTCCAAAAAGTGCTCCCACGCTGAAAACGAACACTCCTTGCAAAAGTTGTGCCCAAAACAGCGTGATCACCACGCTAAGTGGTTGACGATGGGTGCAAAGAAGCCCAAGACCGATAGGGTGAGTCTTCGACCCCTTATTTTACCACTTCGCTCATTAAAATTTAGCATGATGAGATCAATCATACAAGCACCAATGCACCAGATCCCATCAGTACTCTGAAGTCAAGTTTGTTGGTTAGATTATGAGCAATACCGATGGATTGAG